ATAATAATACAGCATTTTATTGTACCATATTTCCCCCAAAATCAGACCAAATCTTATAGTAATTTTTACTATAAAAGGTAGAGTGGGGCTTATTTTCAGGGGATGTATTATTTTTTCACGTACAAAAATCTGCTTATTTATTTTGTTATCACAACTCTCCAAACTCATAAATTCTGCTGCGAATTTCTTGTGACTCCACTTCTTACAGAACCACTGGCCCTCATCTTCCAGGTCCATCAATAGAGCCCCCTTAAGTGAGCATGTGGGCTGCACTGATAGCTCAGTGAACCAAAGTGCCTGATTAGGCAGAGCACAGAGGCCGGGGTTCCATCCCCTGTGTGCTGTGCCAGCCCTACCCACGGGGCATGCTGAAATGTGATTGAGACTGGGCGTGATGGTGGACCTGTAAACCCAGCACTCAGGAGGCTGAACACAGGAGAATCACTACGAGTCCAGTCTATGTAGTGAGACCCTGTAGACCCTGCAGACCATCCTAAATACAGAGGAAAAAAAGTGAGCATGCATCCTGCTCTTAGTGCCCACTTACGATACAGGACATATTGAATTATGAAGATTCATATTAGACACAAAAACATCCATTGCATTATCGAGTGTGTACCTGAATCACATGGATCAGTACCCTGACTGGTCATTGGCAATGAGTTTCAGGTTTGCCTGGCACTTACCTCTCATCCAAAGGTGCCCACAGGAACATTTACAAATATTTAATTATATATTATCATTTAAGTATTAACATCAATAATATTATTTAGTCTGTGACAAAAGATGTGATAATTACCCTGATCCAATCATTCTGCATTGTATACGTGTATTGAACTATCACTCTGTACCCCATAAATATGTACAATTACCATGTGTCAATTTAAACTAAAAATGTACAAGAAAAAAAATTATTTATATTTAGTTATACGTGAAAATTATTATTTTATAATTCACTGTGTCTACATGCTTTGCAGTGGATATACTAAATACAATGGCTGATGATTTTAGCTGGGGAGTATTTTAGGGGTGCAGCTTATATTATGAGCATCCTGAAAAATCATGCTAGGGTGTATTTCCCAGTTAGGTCCTACTTTCAGAGAAAACTGCAATAGCTTACAGATATGGAAAAACTGTAATAATAGTGCTAATTATTAAAGACTTAGGAGCTATCAGACCTCATGACAGAGACTTAGCATGGATTTGTCAGAATGATCCAGGGAACAGCGGAGATGTTGTTGCTTCCAATATATAAAATAAGGCACTGATAAGACTCTTGTCACAGTCACAGCAAATTAGTGGTGAAAAGCATAATGGTGGCCTGGTTTATGAGGTGTTAACCACTGACCCTATCAGCAGCCTCAGATGGGATACTCCGCTGATAAGATAAGTAAGGCCTGTGGAGGAAAGGGAAAGCAGAGTGAGCCTGATTTGAATGAGAACAAGAGAATCCAACCAGTGGAAATGGACTTGGGAGACAGTAAAGTCTAATTAAATTTGCGCTTAATTAGAAATGAGATTCAAGGCTAGGGAGATAGCTCATCAGTCTAAGTGCCTGCCTGGTAAGCACAAGGACCTGGGTTCAATCCCCAGTACCACGGGCCCTGGAAACCCCAGGCATGCCCTGTGCTGGCCACCATAACAGGGCATGGTGGTGCACACCTGTAATGTGAGCACTGAGGAGGCCAAGACAGGCAGATCACTCCAAGTCCGAGCTGTGTAGTAAGACCCTGTACCAAATACAGAGAGAGAGAGAGAGAGAGAGAGAGAGAGAGAGAGAGAGAGAGATTTTTTAAAAAAGAAATTAAAAAAAAAAAGAAAGTAATGAGGTCACCTGTGGCTCCTCTTCCCGAAGCTGTCCTTTCCCAGGACTTGCTCCCTCACCCTCCCCTTCCCAGCAGCCTACCCATTTCTCCACAGGCTCAGCCCTGCCACGCCCTGATTATTGAAGCTAAGATGACTGTTGACAAATCTTTCTGCCCCTCCACCCCACATCCACAATGCTTCTGTTCAAATGTCTAATTTGTAAGCATTTCTGTTTAGTCAATAGTGAGCCCAACTTGTCTGAAATGGAATTCGCCACTTCTCCTTCCAGTCCTCCTCTTGCACCTGACTCCTCATCTGATAAACTGCCTGTCAGTCCAGTTCTAATCAGCAAGATCTAAAACCCCAAACTCTCAAGATCTGGTTCCGAACATTCTCGTGGACCCCAGCTTCCACACGAGTTCCACAGTCCCCCTGCCATGCACCTGTGCTTCTGTCACACTTCTACTTTGCATGTGCTTCCTGCACGTCTGTCTGCTGTTTTCCATTTTTTATTGCCACATACAAGCCTAAAGCCCTCCTCAGCAGGCATCCAGACTGCTGAATCCCTCTCAAGTCAGACAGTTTCTACGTCTCCAAGCATGCTCTACACCACAGGGTCACTTTCCTGAAGCACAGTTCTCACCAGTCTTCCCTTCCCCAAAGACATGTGCTTGCTAGGAATTACCAAGTTAAGTGAAAAACTATTAGACTTCTCAGCTCACTCAGATTTCAAGGAATTTTTCCCCTCTGTACTGTAAGTACAAAATACCATGTCCTGTATTTAGAATAAGCACCTTTCTTTTTTTTTTTTTTTTTCTACTCAACTTTGTCATCCTAACTGGGACATTTAGCCAGGTATAGTGGTGCACAGCTAGAATCCCACCACTCAGGAGGCTGAGGCAGGAGGTCTGTCATGAATTCAAGGCCAGCCTGGGCTACACAGTGGGACCCTACAGGGGGTGGGGGGGGAATGGAATGTGTATGCAAAATGAAAATCATCGCTCCAAGTCAATAAGGACAATATAAAGAAATGAACTCTCACACACACAGTAAAGAGGATAAATTGTCATACCAATTTGGAGGAAATCTGCCAGTTTAACCCCTGACAGGAATTTCATTTCTTAAAATTCGTCCTATAGAAATGCACACAATTATGCAAGAATTATTTATAATTCAAAACATTAAGATACTCAAATACTTAAAAAAACAAACTATGCTATGTTTATTTTTAGAGTATATTTAAATTATAGAACACTGTGTATCCTTCGCAATAAATGAAACAGAGTAGACAATGACAAGGACAAGAGCTAATAGCTATTAAGTACTTTCTAGGACCAAGGTTCATTTTTAAGTGTTTTCACAAAAATCCTAAAACATGAATCTGCACATTTCTGCCACACTAAGAAATGAAAATAAGCAAACTGCCAAATGATGTGCAGTATGCCAAAATACATCCACAGGAAAAGAAAATAAGGGAAAAGAACCTCCTACCCCTTGCTACTAACCATTCCCAACAGCGGTTACCCTTTTGAAGTTTTCAGCATGAAACATGGACTGGACGCCCCCTCTTTAATCCCTCATATGTTACATGACACAATTTAAAGAATGTAGTATTTCATAATTTTAAAATATTACAGAGTACACATTACATAAAAACCACAGAAATACATTAAATTGATTTTAAGGAACATTTTTTCTTTGTCCTATTTTCAAACATCCTATGCTAATACCTTTACTGTTTTTGTTGTTTGAGTTTTAATAACCTACACCTCTACCCTGCTTGCAAGATCCAATTAAAATGCCTAGCACTGCTGTGGGCTACGCAGCATAAACTACAGGGTCCTGGAATTCTGAGATGCACACTAAGATACCTGGCAGCCATCACATGTGTGACCGTGGACAAATGACTTCACCTCTCTGGACCTTCTCACGACTTAGAGATAACTCCAACACCAAGAGCTTCCTTGAGGATTAATAAAGTAACACTTAGGAAACACCTAGGGCAGAGCCACCCTAAGTAAGGGCTCCCATTAAAACTGCCTTCAGTCCTTGGAATGAGTAACTCAGGCCCCTTCTTGGAAACTGTTCTCTTTTCGGAAACTCCGGCTAAATGAGCTAATACAAATGTATTATGTCTTTCCACCAGAGGTGGTGATTCGCCTTAGGGAAAACTTCTGGGTGTCTGGGAAGGCAGCCTGGTCACACAGTCCCTACATTCCGAGCAGCAGGACTGGAAACAGCACTCCTTGGGTACTTTTCAGCCCTGAATTTCACGAGATTCAGACACTAAGTGAAAGGAGAGGTATGAAACAGGCACATCAAAAGAATCACCACTTGGACTAATTACAACCCCGCCAACGAATAAAACCTTTCTTCAAAAACTCTAGCTTTGTTTTCAATAAGCCAATAGACCAAATTTAAACATCTTTCCTATGTACTATCCGAGTACAATACTAGATTCCTTTTTTTAAAAAAATTCAGGCCAAAAAAAAAAAAA